CCCCCCCCCCCGGCCCAGCCCCCTTGCCTGTTGGCAGGAGACGGGGCACAATGCCGGAACAAATACATGCCAACGCTCCGACAATACACTTTTTTTGCCCGCCACCACACGCACCCATCGCACGTAAACACGCTCACATGCACCATGCATCGCGCGCGTGTGCGCCATCGTCCCTCGCGATCGGATCTCGCGCGGGCTGCGTCCGGGGGCGTCGGTGAACCGGGGGGCGGGGGGCGGGGGGGACCGTGCCTGGGAGGATGGCACGCAGAAAGGGAACACACATCCCCGCCTGGGTGTGGTGGGTCTTTTTTATCTCCCGACTTTTGTCCGCCCCCCCCCCCTCCCCTGCCCACCTGCTCCCTTGCCCTGCCCTGTCTTTGACCCCCGATGTTGCACCTTTCCAGGGTCAATCTGGCCGTTCGGCCAGGTCGGCGCCTGCTGCCTGGCGCTGCATGTGCCTGGACCCGGTCCTTTTCCTCTCCGCCGCCCGCTTGGGAGGGCCCGCTGGTCGAGCTGGAGCGAGTCACCGAGGTCGACTTCATTCGGCGCGCCTTTCCCTCCGGGGATGTTGCCGATGTCGCGGAAGCCGCCGGTGCTGCCCTTCGCAAGGCACCGGCCTTTCAGCACCTGGTTCGGGAAAATGACCATGCCCTGCGCTGGACCGGGGCGCACGTCCGGCGTGTGGGGACGCTGATGGAAAGCCTCGACCGGCAGCAAGCCAGCTTGGCCCTGCCCGGGGAGCCGCTGAATCCGGTGCGTCCATGGAGCCCGAATTGCCGAGTCCGGCAGGGTGCTTGCTGACCCCCGATGTGCGCCCACCCTTCCATGGCACCCTCGCAGGCGTATGTCGGGTTCGATTACTTTGTCGATGGGGGGGCCATGTACCGTCGGCGAGCTGAGCCCGGCAGCTCGGGCCCCCACTCGACTGGCACCCTCGGCCAGCACACCGCCGGGCCGACGGATGAGCTGGTTTTCCGGCCAACGGATCTTGGTGATGACCCAGGCCTGGTGGCCGAGGCTGCTCGAGCCCTCGATCGAGGGGTCATCACGGTGAGTGAATCCCTGTGCGGCCGGTGGGCGGCGGTCCTGCTGGCCGGGCCTCCGGGCTCCGAGAGTCACTTGCTGTATGTCACCCGGCCGGGGGCCGCGGCCGCCGGGGCTCGCCCTCAGCGCCTGTCGGCCACAGCGTCAGGCCCCTGCTGGCTGGCGACCGGCGGGAAGGGCCTCCCCGAGAGCGGTGTGCTGCTTTTCCTCGAGGCCGATCAGACCGGCCGCCCGGCGGCCCTGCTTGCCGGGGTACCGACTCCTTCCGGCATGCCGGCACCGGTGTCCCTATTCACCGAGCCCGACCCGTCGATGTTCCTCGGCCTGGGGACTCTGCCGGGCCCGGAGATGCTGTCACTTTTGGTTCAATCGCACGACCGAAGCGAAGTGTGGGCCGTCCGCTCGGCCGGCGAACCGGCCGCCCCGCCCCACGAGACGCTGCAAAGTGTCAGCCTGCCCGGCATGCCCGGGGCCGCTGTGGAATTGCTCTGCATCCATCCCCGCCATCGGGGCGGGACGTGCTTTTTTGGCCAGTCCCCCGGACCTGATGGCTCCTTCTGGCTGCTTGCCACCGGACCGGCCGATGCGGCCTCGGCCCCGGGCCTGCGGCTCTTCCGCTCGAGCCGTGGCCCCGGCTCCGGCTGGCATTTGGCCTACGACCCGGGCCCCGACATGCGAACCATCGAGTCACTTGACATCCGCCACGGCCATGTGGTGATCTATGGAAATGGGTATGTCTTCCCCATTAGGGGTGTTCGCGCGGCCGCCGAACGAGGCGCCTTGGGACTGACACGCGCCCCCCGGCGCCCGGCCTAGCTGCTTTGGACACTCGGTGGCAATCCTGAACGCGGATACCCTCACCGTCACCGAGGTCCCCCTACAGGGCCTCTTGACGCCGAATGAGCAGCCACGCCCTGTACGCAGGATCACCCCTCCTTTGGCTCCTTCCACCTTGGTGGACGCCCCGACCGACATGCCAAATCCCCACTGGCATGAGGTCCCCTGCGTGGCCTCCGCCGGGTTGGAAGTCACTCCCGGCCTGCCAGTGGCCTACACCCCGGATGGCCTTCCCCTGATTGATCCGTCAGCCGTGTACTTTTATGTTCGCGGGCCATGCACCTCCGCCAGTCTGGCTGAGGTCCGACTCGACCAGCCAGACGCCCGGTACGCGGACCCTCTTCAAGTTGCTGCCTGGATTGACAGGGGGCGGTTGGGGGCGTGCTGCTTCCTTTGAAGTGGCGGAAGAAGGGCACACTGGTCTCTTCTTTCTTTTTTTTTGATCTCCCACATCCCCCTTGCGAACCTTCCCGCCCGGTGTTCCTGACATGCTGCGAGCCAGCCTGATGCCGAGGGTCTTGGCGGCGGCTGAGGTGGACACATCCTCCGCGGCTGCTGGAGTGGAGCCGCTCCTGCTGGGGGCCTCCGGCATACCAGTCACCTACTTCACCGGACAGCAAGCCCATCCGGGCCCGGCGCCGCTGCTGCTCAAGTCCTATGGCTCCTACGGGCAGAGTGCGCGCTTGGGGCTCGGCGATCCGGAGCGCATCCTGCTCGGGCTTGGCTGGGATGTGGCGGTCGTCCATGCACGAGGAGGGGGCGAACGTGGCACCGGGTGGCACTGGAGTGGAACCGGACAAGCCGGCCGGCTTCTTCGCACGGTGGAGGACATTCGCTTGGCGGCTCGGTGGGCACGTGGCGAGGCCGAGTCCGGGCGCTTTGTTGCGCTCGGGTCCTTCAGTGCCGGGGCTGCGGCCGCGGCCCTGGCCATCGAGGAGCCGGGGCTCTTCGATGCGGCGGTCCTTCGGTCGGGCTTCCTGGATGTGGCGGCGGATTTGGCCGCCGCCGGTGGCGGCCTGCTCGGGGCCGCCGAGCGCCGGGAGTGGGGCGACCCCAGTGACCCGGAGTTGGCCCAGCTGGCCGACCCCGTTCATCGACTTCAACATGGCCTCGCCGGGGCTGGGGCCTGGACCACGGCGGCCTGGGTGTCCTGCGCGTTGACCGATCGCCGGGCCCCGGCCGCCCATGCGGCCAAGTATGCCGCCCTTCGACGCCGGGCCGCCGCCGCCGCCGGCGCCCCGGCTCCGCTCACCCTCCTCCGCGTGCTGGATCTCCCAGCCGGCTCCCATCTGGATACCGGGCTTTTGGAGGCCGACCACCATGGGTATTTGGACCCCGTGCGCCAAACCATCGAACAGGCCAGTATGTTGAATTTCCTGCTCGCCATGTATGATGATGCCCAGCGCCCGGGCACGGGCAGCGGGTCATTCCTGCGGCGGTGCCGGTCTTGGCTTGGCCTCCCATCGTCAAAATGAAAGCCCCTCGCATGGGGGACATGCCCGGAAAGGGCAAACGAAAAAAGCAAACACTCGCACGAGCACGACACGGCGGGGAGGGTGGGGCCGCGGAGGACCAAAATGTGAAGAAGAAAAGGCACCCCTCACACACAGGCAAAGGGTCCAGCAGGCGTGGGGAGCTGCACACACACACACACACACACACACAGACACAAGCCACCGGAGGAAGGGGGACACTTAGGAAGAAGAGTATAGTTTGTCACCTGGGAAAGGGGGACGGGGATCTACATGAGCGAGGTGATATCCACGCGCTGGCGGACCGCATTGGAGAAGCCCTCATTGAAGGAATACCAGAAGCGGATCGTCGGCACCGGCGCCTCCGGGGATGTCGCCTCGTCGGGGTGTAGCTGGAGTGCCTCGTTGGAGGGCTCGCCGGCAGCCATGTCAGTGGTGGCCAGTGCGTCGGGTGGCAAAGCGGTCGGGGTGGTGGCCGCGGCAGACGCGCCGATGACCCGGCCAAAGAAGTCCCGAGCGACGGAGGCCCCCACCATGCTGTCGGATGTGCGAGAGCCAGAGCCCCCGGCCCCACCATGAAGCAGGGCCGTGACTTCGCGATGCCGCGCGGCAATGCGCCGAGGGGTCAGGGGATCCCCCTTCTTCGGGGAGCCCGGGGCAACGGGCGGGGCCGTCTGTGCAAGGACCCGCTGCACCGGGTGCGCGGCGGCCATCGCCGGGCCAGAGCTCGAGGCCGGAGCTGACACCGGTGGAGCCGGTGCCGGCGGCCCGAGTCGGGCATTTGCCCGGCGTGAGCGCTCCGCCTCGATGGCCGCATGCAGCGCTGCCAGCGCGGCATAGCTTTGCCTGCCCACCGGGAAGGCTGGATGACTGCGACGCGCGACAGCCGCCGATGCCGCATCATTGGCCAGGGTGCCATGTGTCCGCTTGCCGCCGAACGCGCCGCCACCGCCGCCGACGAGGCCCAGAGCGTGGCCTTCCTCCTCAAAGAGGGCCAGCCGATCGATCGGTCTAAAGAAGGGCGAGGGGGAGGCCGGGGAAAGGATGTCAATCATAGCACAGGGCGCGCGGAGTCGACCGGGGCCGGGCATCTACGTACGGGGTCAACTCAAAGCTGTCAGTGGCGTGTGAAGAGGATGCAGGACCCGGGCCGGTGGCATCATCATCACCATCACCACCGCCCAGGGCCTGGCGCTTGCGCCGGCCGCCGGCGTCCCATTCGTGTGGGCTCTCCAGGCGCACGGGCACCAAACGCAGCCCGTAGGTCAGGAAGGTTTCGGCCAGGCGCTGTGTCCGGCCGCGATCGCGACCGGAAACGGCACCGGCCGCCAGGACCCCCTGCGTCAAGCGAGGAAAAAAAAAAGGCACAGCGAAAAAAAGGGCGTGAGGTTGGACCGAGGGGATAAGGGCGACCAAAAGACAGGCAAAAAAAAAACACAAACACGCAGAGCAGACAGCACACGCACAGGCCGGCTCGGGGGCGCAAGCAGCGCCGGCAAGAAGGACAAATAATCCAACAAGAAGGCCCCCTCAGCCTGGATTGGGAAGCGCAATGCGGGCCCGGCGGCGGCGGCGCAGACAGCCGCGACATCACGCAACTCGGCCGCTCGGCCGGTCACCGGCGCCTCGAGCGGGAAGCGCGCCGGCCAAGACAGCGACATGCCCCCGGCCAGGGACCCCGGCACGGCGCACACATAATGGAAGGCTGCCACCGCCAAGGCCGGGTAGGTGGATCCGCCGGCGTCGACGCCGGCTGACACGCGGCGCACCCGTTCGAAATAGTGCAACCAATCCCCCAGAGAGGCACTCCCCCGGGCGGAGCCGAACCCCCGGTCGACCACGGCGTCCGGCGCTCGGCACCCGGCGTAACTGACAAAGCACGCGTCCAGGAGACGCTCCGGGTCCGAGTCCGCCATCAGCAGAAGGTCCAGCAAATCCCCAAGAGACCGGTGGCCGGAGCCGGAGCCGGAGCCACCCGGCAGGGTGAACACCGCACGACGCTCTTCCGATCTGAGTCCGCCATCAGCAGAAGGTCCAGCAAATCCCCAAGAGACCGGTGGCCGGAGCCGGAGCCGGAGCCACCCGGCAGGGTGAACACCGCCCGCAGGACCTTCGGAAGGGAGGTGCTCGTGTCGCGTCGGCTCGATTCCAGCAGCTGGCGCATGGCCGCCGGAGAGAGACGCCACCCGGGCGCCCCGTGCGCTGTCGCCGCCTGAAGCCGGCGCTGTGCCAGGGCCAACTGCAGGACATTCAGGCAGCCGCGCAGATCGGCGCCCTCGCGCTCGGCGAGCAGCATCAGCGCCGCCGCGTCGGCTGGCAGACCCTCCTGCGCGCAAATGGTCGACAGACGCCGGGCCACGCGGCTGAAGGCCGTCGGCGGGACGGCCACATGCAATGCCTCCCGACGGAGGGACCGCAAAACCGGCACATATGGATCATTGCACACAAAGAGGACCGGCCGGCGGAGGATGCGTGCCCGGCGCTTGCCAGGGGCTCGCTCCCGGGCACCATCCTCGCGGAAGATCGCCAGCAGGGACTCCATGGCGCTGTATGCCCCACCGCCACTGCCCGCGCCGCCGCCGCCACCCCCGGCGCCACCGCCAAAGAGCCCGTCGCACTCGTCGACAATCACCAAATTGGGCAGACCCCCGGCTGCCAGGCCAAAGCCACCGGCCTGGGCGGCAAGCGTGTGGTTCTCCGACGATGCCAGGATAAGCTCGCGCAGCTCGGCCGGCGACCGGTCCTCCGAGGCATTGATCAGGATCGGCTGGTAGCCGGCCATCCGAGCTGCCAGCATGGCCAGCGTGGTTTTACCGACACCGGGAGGGCCGCTCAGAAGGAGCATCTACACCTCGCAATGGCACGGGCCTGTGAGAAGAGAGCAGGAGGCCAGGCAGGTGGGCCGGCAAAGAGAAGGAAAAAAGCCCACTTGGCGACAAGCACAACGGCCGAAGGGAAGAAAGATTGGGAGGGGGGGGGGGGAAGGGGAAGACGCACGCGCTTGGATGGACGGCCGAGGGCGTCCAGCGGCCCGGCCTCGCCCTGGTCACCGACGCCAATTGCGCTGGCGCTCGAGGAGGGGCCCCGGCGCGGGGCCGGCGTCCCAAAGACCGCCGAATCCCATGCCCGGATCCAGGAGACCACCCGGCGATTGGACCGGTCGTCGGACAGCAGCTCGATGAAGGTCCGCGGTGCATAGCGCTCGGTCAGGAGCACACCCCCGGCCGGGGCAAGCTGGGCCCCGGCCGGGGCCGCCAACTCGGCGGCCTGTGCACGACCGGTCGCCAGGAGGACTTCGGCTCGACGGCGAAGGACAGCCATCGGCTCGCCAAGGAGCGGGGCCGTGCGCGAGCCCGGGTGCTCGTCATCTTTGTCGGCCTCCGCAAAATGCTTGGAGGAGAGAAGCAAGTGCTGCACGGCCAGCGGAGCCGATGGCAGGGGCCAGACCCCCTGGAGGTGCTCCGATGTGGCGGACAGCCGGGCCAGGCCCCGTGCGAAGGTGGATGCAAGGGCCGCGACGCCGAGATCCGACGCGTTGCCCGACGGCGCCGGCCCATCGGCAGGGCCATTTCGACGGCCCAGGCCCACAAAGACCGTGACGCCGGACCGAGGGCAGCGAAGGGGCTGGCTGAATGTGCCGGGCTCCAGGCGAACTGACAGTCGACCATCGCTCAGGGAGCTTTCCATGCTCGGGATTCGAGACCAGGACACCGGATCCGCCAGGCCACCAGTGCCGAAGGACTTGGCGCCGCGCCCCACAGCGCGCGGGACGCACGAAGACTCCGCATGCGTCGGAGCCTTGGGTCCGGCGATCGTTGCCGGGGGCATGACATGGGCAATTCCGCCAGCGAGGGCAACACCGGGCGAGCTGGCCGTTTGACCCATGGCCACGAGGGTGAAGGTGTCCGGCACACGCGGCGCCCCAGGGTGCGACACAGGCACCGGGCCCGGGGCCGAGCGAGCACCCTCCTCGTCGCCCTCAAAGAGGAAGCCCAGCTCATCCAAGATGGCATCAACATCAACGGGCCCGCCGGCGCCGACGTCAGGTCCATTGATGTCGGGGATGTCGAACATCTCATCGAAGTGCATGTCATCCATCTCGAAGTCCGACATGGGAAAGTCGTCATCCCTCATTGCCGACAGCGAAGTCGAGCCCGTGTCCCGGGTGGGCTCGGCGCTGGGCCCCGAGTCCCCAGGAGACTTGACCAGGTCCGAGAAGTGGACATCCACCGGGGACGAGCCCATGTTGCTGGCGGAAGAGAGAAAGCCACACAGGCAAGGGGGACCCGAGGAGGAGGATGTGGCACAAAGGGAGGAATGTAACGAAATACCAGGAAGGAGAAGCAGAGACAGAGGGGCGGGGGGGGGGGGAAGAAAGAGAGACAGAAGGAGGGAAGGGAGGAAGGGATAGTGTATAGAGCAGGGACTCCGTCCATTCCAGACCTTCTGCTCTTAGAATTGACATTACCCTGCCCGAGCCCGAGACCCAGCACCAAGCAAGAAAGCCGGCGATAGCCCGCGGCGCGTGACGGCAGGGAGCCCCCCAATGCCGGGGGGACGGGCAAGATCGCGGCGCGGCATGGCACGCAGGAGTTTAAAAAGTAACGACCGGCTACCAACGGATGGGCATTTTCTAGTGTTCTATTGGTGTTTGCCAGAGGATAGCAAGGAGGGTGTCGGAGAAAAGCACACAAGGGCATATGTGCTAGTGTGGCGCCTGCTGAGACGCAGACACACGCACGCGTGCCCTCACATGCGACGCAGCCCCGGGATGTGAGAGGGAGAAAGACGCGCGAGGCGGGACACACGCGGATCTGAAAGGAGAGAGAGAGAGAGAGAGAGAGAGAGAGAGAGGCAGCGAGATGGGAAGGGAGGAGCGAGGAGGGGAGAAGAAGGAGGGGGTTCCCTCAGAAGTGGGACATCTCATGGGTGTGGAAGTCGCGCGCTAGCCCGGACCAGGAGCACTGGGGGCAGCGCTTGACCGCCAGGCTACCAGTCAGGTCGGAGTCCGTGCGCGCAGCGCGATTGACCAGGGCATCGCGGCGGCCCGGGGTCGACACAATCCGGAGCACTCGGCGCGGGGCCGGTTGGCCGGCATTCGCCGCGGCCGGTTGGCCAGCCTTGCGCCGGGAATTGTTGGCAGCCGGGGGCTCCGGAGTCGGGGAGGCATACACCGCCGAGAGGGGAGCAAAGTCATCGAGAGAGGCGGCAGGGCTCGATCGAGCAGCCGCGCCCGGCCGACCGGCGCTGGTCGAGGTCGAGGCGCTGGTCGAGGAAATGGCCGGCGTGGCAGCCGCCGACCATGGCGCGCCGACCGCCGCCGGGGCCGACAAGGCCACCGACAGGGGCACGGCCCGGTTGCGCGCCTGGCGCGAGGTCGACTGCAGGGGAGGGGACGCCGCCACGGAAGCCGCCCCGCGTCCGACCACCGAATAGGGCGCTGGGGCGGCGGCCGGGGTCGGGGCGGCCGGCCGCGCCGGCAGCTGGGCCGGCGTCAGGACACGCATGGAGGAGGTGTCCGGGGCGGCCGGGGAGGCCCCACGTCCGGCGGCGGTGCCCGACGCCGAGGCCGCCTGGTTGACCATGCGCGCCAGGGCCGGCGACGAGCCGGTTGACACGGTTCGCCGGGCTGGCCGCAGGGTGACCATGCGCTCGGAGGCCGAGGAATTGGCAGCGGCCGAGGAAGACCGCACCGACGCGGCGCCCGAGGCAACGGCGGCCGCCGACGCGGCGCGCTGTGCCCGCAGAACGGACACCGGTGGCCGAGGAGGAGCCGCGGCGGCCGCGGCCGCGCCGGCACTCGACGCATGGACATCCGCCAGGGAAGGGAAGTTGCCCGATCCGCGGCTGGTATCCACCGAGGCCCCGATGCCGGTGATTCGCCCGCTGGAAGATGCCAAATCCGACCAGTAGGTGGGCCCGCGAGAGGGCTTGTTTGCCCTGCTCCGTTGGGCGCCTGTCGCGGTGGAGCCGGCCGCCTCGGCGCCGGCTGCCGCATTCTCCGGCCGGGAGATCCGCACCCGCTCCATCGCAATCTCGGTAGACCCCGGCGGATTGGCCGTGGCCAGGGCCGTGCCGGACGGGGCAAAGTAAATGCCACTCCCAGCCGACCGGCGACTTGTGCTGCTGGAACTCAATCCCCGAGGCCCGGACAGGCGATAGCTCCGCATGTCGGCCGGGCGAACGAGGATGTCCGGGTGGGACATGGCCTGTGCAGAGCATCAGCGATGTCAGTGGGGTGCACAGCGAGCCGGCATGTGGGTGTGCATTTGTGCATGGGAGCGAGCGAGCGAGCGAGCGAG